GTGTCATTCAGAGTTTGCTCGTGCTTTGCAGATTCACTAGCTTACAAGACTTTGCTGCCTCATATTTTCTACAGTTGTTCTTGGCATATGTATACTCTCTTCAATTTCTTTTTAGTTTTAATTTTATATTTATACTAACGATGCTTCGTGTCTTGTGCAGGTTTCACACGAGCTGGATGTCACCTAGTTAGCCACTGCATGCGACCTCAACTCAGGTATACTCTCTTTGACAGCTTTCATTTTACTTTTACACTACTCATTTTATACATATATATTGATGCCTCATTATTTTGCGTAGGTCCCCATAGGAACAGGATACCAATTATAATACTGCTACATGAGGCTTTCACCCATGTAATTTTTTTTAGTTTGTGTAGTTTTTTTTCTTTCTTTAGTTGTTTACTGATATCCTTGTTTCCTTGCACAGGTTCAGGAGTAGGACACCAGTTTGTGAGCTACTATAAAAGACCTTAGTTCAAGTACACATTTCTTTTTATAGCTTTACATGCATTTGCATAATCTTTCTCCTGCATGCTAACATTTTTGATACTTAGTGCATATTCCAGAAGTGCATAGTGCTCAATCTTTGGAAGGATCAGAGCGGAGCTGTCAACTTCATCTTTATGCATATATTTAGAAGACATATTTTAGTCCTCTAGGAAAGATATTGTACCTTTTCTGTTAATTGATGCAAGCTTAAAAAAAAAATATAAATTATAAACTTATATATAAATTCTAAATTAATTAATAAAATAAAACAATTTTATAAATTTAACAGTTTATGAGTTCTGCTTTTAATACTCTTGTGACTTCTGTGGTTGTTGTTCTCACAGCTTTAGACCCTCGTTGGAGTTAGCAGTTGCGCTCTTTTCCCAGCATTGGGTTGAGTATTGAGGTTTTGATTCCTTCTGTTATGTGCTTTATACAACAGACATCGGTGAAGGATTGCCTAATTTGTTATTACCAACTTGTTAGGATATTTACGTGCATTCTGCCTTTTGGTTCTTATTTTTATGGGCTTGATGAAGGAGTATATGCCAGTGACCTAAACCCGTTAGGTTGATATCAACTCAGTGGCAATAGGTCATCGGTTCAAAGTTTTGTGTGTAACAGACTTGTTGATGACATAATCCTCTTAGTTCAGCCTTAGGCTTAAATAATTTCTTCGATTCTTTGCTTTATTTTTTAACGGACTTGCTAAAGAAGGATTCATTCGATCATCATTTTATGCTTTACAAATTGTTGAAGGATTTGCAGGTTTTGGGTTTAGTGGGTAATACAAAATGTAGATAATTCCTTGACCCTTAACCAGTCGAGAAGATTTCAATCTAAGTTACTTGAACTTATCAAATTGGGTGAGCTATGATTTAACAACTTGTTCTCTGACTGCTGAAATGAGGGTTCATCTACTACGGCCTTTCTTATAGCTTATTGAATAGACAAAGCTGCTAGCGACTCGGTCATATCTGGACTTGTTGAGTATCATATGCCCGTTTATCATATGCCCGTTCAGACTTAGACTTAGGTTGTGGAGAAATGCGCTCCCCAAGCTAGATTTGTTGAAGTTTACGGATTTGAATTCATCCTTCATGATTTGAGATATTAAATCTTACACGTATTCGATAGCTATTGATTGAGACTCATTTTGCCTACTATAACTATAACTTTAATTCTCCAGTCAATTAGGAGGATTTTATGGACTACGGCTACTTAAACTTAGTGAGTCAGATAGTGGTTATGCATAAGAATAGTTACATCTTATCATCAATGTTTTCTATTAGTAACTGCACGGCATATTCTTCTTCCAACTGATACTCATATTTCATGCTCAAATTGCGTCAGCGCATTATGTATCTAGACACTGACTCGTCCCTTTTTCTCTTATTTAAGGCGAGGTCAGTGATGATTATCTTCTCGGTTATGCTGATGAACCTCTTCACGAACATTACTTCTAACTTCGTGAAGTCTTCACAAAGTCATTTGAAAATTCAACGTACCATTCGAATGCAAGCGCCATTAAACTGCTAATAAATTGTCGAAAGAGTAATGCATCATTGCCTCTTTTATTTCTGCAGGTGGCTTTGAATTGTATCAAGTGATGCATGGGGTAGTTATTATCGTTGAAGGTATTAAATTTCGGGACAAAGTACCCTTTTGAGTATGGCACTTGATCATATTTCACGGAATACAGACGACCCTTGCCCACCAGCTTCTCCGCCTGATCGACTGCTATAATAGCCTTGATCTTTTCAGTGATTATTCCCTCGAGCTGCGCAGCCATCACGGGCTCGAAGGTACCAGCTATGATCTGCGGAGTGGGCTAATGGATGATGATATGCACCTCGTTGCCACCTTAAAGGATACCTCATACTCCCAAAACTTGAGGCATTTATCGATTTGGAGGATCCACAAGAGGATTAGGCATGAGACTGGCGACAGCAGTCCTCTGCATCATTGCCGTCATCTAGGGCATCATCCCAGTCATTTTATCGCTTAACTAAGAGATTTTCCTGTCCTTAGCCCTTATTTGTCGTCTCATCTGTCTTCGCATGTCTGCGAGTGTGAGATTTTTAGCATTTAGGGGGTTCTTTTCGACATGTTCTTCTTCTTCTGACAAGTGGCCACCTCTGACGGTGATGGACCCGATCTCACGATGGTGTCAGTGTATTTGCCTAGGCGGTGGCTGGAAATTGTCGCCATTTTCACTATCATCGTAATATGCCTCATCGTTGACATTGGCATGCCTCACCATGTAGACCACTTCAACTTTCATGGTATCCTCTTCATCCTCCTCTTCTTATACTCGGATCTCTGAGCAACGTCGCCACTGGATATCCGGTTCACTAAATGGTAGGAAGATTTCTTCGACCCACTGGATGCGATTGACGTTGATGTCTTTCTTGACTGGGTTAGAGCGACGAGATCCCCTCAAAGATTCCCTAGGATATCGATCGTCGGGCCGGGTGTTGTCATTATTGGCCTTCTTTTGAACTAACTTTTGAGATTGCTTGTTGGTGGTGGCAGATCACCGTGAAGTTGTACCGGATGTCACGCTCGTATCTGGTCTTTCTCTAGATATCTTCTCTTTTTGAGGCCTTGGCCTCCAAATTCGCTTGCCATTCCACCAGGACCTTTCGGTGGTGGATACCAGAACACTCGGTTCAGGTGTCACACCCTGATGCTCATTGGGTGGAGCTGGCTTGAATTTTCTCTAGTTTACCATGGGCGACAACTCGCATGGTGGGGTTTTCCTAGCCCGGATCAACAGCGGCCTTTGGAGCTTCTTTTTCATCAGTCATTTCTCTTTTGTGGCCTTTAGGACCATGTACACAAGAGCAGAGAGGGTTTTAGGTTCCTTCTTCTTCTGAGGGAATGGAGTTTCGCGTCGCTGATCCTAGAAAGATTTTTTTAACTCGTCGGAGTTGTTTCTTTTCACTCACCTTAAGTCGATAAAAAAATTCCAAGTGGGAACATTGACTTCGGGTTCTTGAGCAGGCATGTTTGATGGGTGCATAGGCAGCAGTTGATGCTGAACTCAGAGCTCATCATTCTTCTTTCTCCTTTACATTCTTGTGAGCCTTCCTTCAAATGAGGAGACCTCAACATTATGCTTTCCGGGTGCAGGTAACTCGGTTGACAGAGCAGTGGTGTTAGCAGTCACCACTGAGATTCTTCCACCAGCCACAACCCTTTTGGTAGCTGGGGCTACTGACTGTGATAACCTATGAGGATTCTCAGCAGTGGTGGCAGCTCGTGATGTTGGCAGATACATCAACCCACATAAAAATAAGGGTTAATAATCAGCGTCTGATACATCACCCCACACTTTCAAAATACAAAGACTACACATAACAAAATAAAATAATACAAGCAAGTAATTAAAATAAATTTAAAACCTTGCTTGATGGATTTTCAGTGAATTTATTGAATGTTGATTTTAGAATATTTAAAATTTTAATTCGTTAAATGATTATTTTAAAAAATTAAAAAAATTTAGCCTATGTTGATTTAGCTGCTACTATAACACTTAAATGACGAGTCAAAGATGGAAAGAGAAAACATCCTAGTGAAATCACCAGAAATATGTAGTCTGCTGTTGTTGATTGGAGTTTGGGCTGTTGTGGGCTTGTTGGGTAATAGTGTGGTGGAGATTAGGTTGTGGTTAAGAGAGGGGTCAGTCGAGTGAGGGTTGAAGCATGCTGCTAGCGGTTGTTGTGGTTGGAGCTGTTTGTGTGAGGATTGACGACTGTAGGAGGCGTGGAGGTCAGGTGATGTACGGGATGTTTGTAACTAGGTTGAGTTCTGTGAGGCGTTAACAAGAAAGATATCGAAGCTAATAAGGGGAGCTTCGACTGGATTGGGAAGGTAGGGAGGATGGAGGTCGGCTAGGCCTTGTTTGGTTGCTAGAAGCAAATCCGACGGCTCGGCAAGCTTGGAGGCGTGAGGGAGGTCGACGGGTTCAGCAAGCTATGGATTCGACAAGACCTTTGCGTGAGAAGAGGAAGAAGGCAAGCTATCCTCGCAGATGGGGTCGGAGTGGGTACAACATGCGTGCGAAGTCGATCGTGGCTTGCAAACAGTGATGGAAGATGGAGGGGTAGATTGTGGGGTGTGAAGATGCGGGCTGGTGTCTAGAGCTTCGACTATGTCCAGTGGAGGATTTGAATGGTTGTTGGAGTTTGGTGTGGATTCGTGCATGAAGTCCGACTTGGTAAAGGGAGATTGATTTGCTTGGAGATGATGGGTAGAGGAGGTCAGGTGTAGTGCGGGATTGGAAAGAAGGAAAACGAATGAAGCTTCGTTTCATTCTCATTTTAACGATGTAAATGAAGGCGCGATATTGCACGTGGGAGATGTACGATTGAATTCAGCGCCATTTGCAAGGAATGGGCCACAAGCTAGAGGGATTTTGAAAAAAGATTTGTACAGTTTGTGGCAGAGGTTTTTTTTTTTTAAGTGATTTCTTTTGAATATGTCTGTTAGAGGTTAAATTAACTGGTTGCAACTTGATTCTAATTGCAATTTTCTAGGTATTATAACAAGAGGAAAAACTATTAGAGTGTAAAACGCAATGTCAAGAGTAGTCTTGTAGCAATAATAGAATCAACTTTGGCCTTAATAGTAGAACGTTATTGGTTCATGGTTTGATCCTTCGTCGAAATATTATCGAGCTCATTTTAAGTCGAATAAGATAAGAACAATTCAAGGATTGCAATCATTTCTCAATGGTACTCAAGATTTTAGTACCAGTGCTAAGATTAAACACATAAAGGAAAGAAAAACAATGCAATAGTAGATAAAGCCGCAGCAAGATACTGCCCCACAAGCAATCAAGTTTGATAATAAAGATTGAGATGGTGGGATTTGACAACCATCAAAATGACCTTCAAAACTATTTGCACGAAAAAGTTTGAGTGCTTGTGAACCCCAAATGAGGTGGTTGTTTGGAGTTCATTGTGTAGTGATCATGGTTTTGATATTGGACGTCAAAAACTTCAAAGATTGGGCAATAATAATACCATGACATTGAGCTGAAGTGTTGCTGTCACCAGAATCAAAACATGATTTGATCTTGCAAAAAGGAGATAAGAATAAGACCATTGGGGGTGAGTCTCTGATACCACGAAGAAATTTTAACAAAACAAATACAGAAACCTGTAACAGAGAATAAAAAGAAAGAAGAAGATTAGAGAGCAGATGTTCGTTATATTCCATTGGCTTAAACAGTGCTGTATATTTAACAAAATTACAAAAGCATGTATTGCAATCAGTTATAAAAGCAGGAAATTTGAAGGCTGAGATTAGCAAGGCAGTTTCTGATAAATGTCCCAGATGAAGAACAGTGGGATAGCGGCCCCTATGTACTAGAGAAGTGCTGAGAGGTAGTGGCTGCTGTGTAGTGTAGTGCCGAGCAGTTTTTATTCAGTTTACCTAATTAACATGTACGTCTTAAATACAGTGAAAATATCAGCACAGCGCATATTAATTTGCAACAAGAGACACATATCCAAAACTTCAACATTGTAAACTATTCAATGTACAGCAATCGACAGGCATGATAATGTTATTACATGAAAACCTAAAGAAAGTCCTCCTTATTCTGTAATTTCAAAACAAAGCTTCGCTTCGTCCCAAGGACCATTAATCTCAAACTTATATTCCTGTATCTGAATAAGCCAATAAGGACAAACTATTGAAATGAACACAATAAGAGCTAATAAAAGAACAAAGAGCATCCGGTGCATAACAAATATGATGCTGAGTGTCATGGACATTAGTATGAAGGAAAACCACAGATGTAGCCAGAAAGAGTATTTTTTAATGCAGAAAGTCACCAAGGGGGCGAAAAGGAAGACCTGTAAGGAAAAGAGCATTAATGCAAAGACATGAAGCCTGGATGGGAGACGAGAGGCTATTAGAACTGAAGCTATAATAGATGCATTCAAGGAGATGTTGCTAGCTAAAGTTGGATTGTTCTTAGCACCTGGAGGTCTTATAGTGTAGCCAGAAAAGTCATGCAAGAAAAGATGGATCAGTAAAAGTGAAACTGAAAGTGCCCATATAGAATCAGAGCTTATAGACCGTGTAAGAGTGTGGTATACTGGTGCTAAGATGTACAGCCCACTAATGAAGAAGGAAATCTTCATAAGGTAATGCAAGAACAGATGAAAGGAAAGCTGGCTTGTTGTGAGCAAGATTATCAAGAAGCCTAAGCCAAGAAGGCCAGCATCCAATGAAAGGAGAGATATCTCATCAATCACGGAATGTAAGGTCTGTATCCAGACAATAACCACAAGAGCTGCAATGCAGAGATATTGAGATATGGAAACAGAATCCAACATCACTTTGAACAAATCCCTCTTCACAACATTAGCATTCATGACCATGCCTTCCAAGAATGAGTCATCAGTATAGTTATCATCATACCCTGGCTGCATCCCTCCGTAGGCAACTTTTCTCCATTTATGCTTACCGGAACTCTTCTTAGCTTCACTCTCCATGTATTTTTTATACTCTTTACAGCAGATTATTTGACTTAAGCAGCACCTTTCGTGCAGAGAAATTCATGTAAATCCTAAAGATCAAAGCTTCAACAAATTGTGCTTGTCCTTCAGAACTCTCCAAACATCTGGTCATGTTGTAGAGCACAGCCGATAGTCAAGACTTTTTATAACCTGAAAAAATAATGTAAAACTTGATACTAGCATTCATAGCAACGAACCAACTAACACTAAAAACTAATAAACAATTATTGCTTACACAACATCCTTTATAGTTTATAGCAAATATATGATGATCATCAAAGCCCGTTAGCTCCTCGTAATTGAGGTTTTGGTCACTAATATATATATATATATATATATATATATATATTTTGTGACAGAAAGGGATATATGGTTCACAACAAACTATTGTAAATACTAAATATATGAGTGTCTGTATCAAAATTTTTTGTTTTCCAACTAACAATTGTGTCAGATCATTTCTATGAGCTACAGTAGCACGCCTTCAAGATGGTATAAAACCAAATGAATCAGACGAAGTGGGTTAAAAATTTACATCAATTTGCTTCCGCATGTGCATGAAGCACATAATGCCAACAGGCTGGCAAGTTCAAGTACTTCTCCAATATAATTTGGAATCAAATTGTTGATAGTTAAAGACATTTGAAGCTACAGTGCTAATCCTAATAGAGGTTCATCATCTGAACAAAGATCAGCAAGCTCAGAAGGTGATCCGAAACCAAAAGGTTTTAAATAAGGATTGGAGATGATGACTCAATCTCATAAGTGATCCACGAATTTGACAATGTAACTTTATTTGTCGCCCAAACCTAAGCAGAATTTTGTGCAAGGTTTAAGTGAATCTCATATTTAATAGATAAAAGCGAATGTTGTATTGCACATAATTCCAACCAATGTTCCTCTAATTACTTTTCTCATCCATGTGTACTTTTATGTAGTCCAAAGCTGGTAGTAAATAGTTTTCCAAGGAGGTTTCTTATGACAGCAGCATATGTAGGGAGATCATTTAATTCTTTCTCATGGACATAAAAACAGAAAGCAAACCTGAGATTAAAATGATTCACCATGGGCAATTTTTAGGAGCCATTGTTACTAACGGAGCAGTATATGTCTAGTTATATTGTATATAAAATACGTACATATGTGCGAAGATTTACATATACATGTAAATTTGTACATATATTGAACCAATTCAAAGTTGCAAAGAACTAATTTTGACTAAATATCTAGTTAAAAAAAAAACATAATTTCAATTTCAAGTCAATTAAAATTAAAGTGGTCATGATCAAAATATGATGAAATTGAGTTATTGGCATTGATAGCGCATTTATTATGCACGTATAATTTAACAAGCCAAATAAATATGTGCATATTAGCTTTTTTCCCACTGCTTTATAACTATAATGTATGTATGTTTGATAAAAAAACTCTAAGTGGTTTGGTTTTTTAGTAAATTAGTTGTAGATACATGAGGTTTTCATTAGGCTTCATTTTGGTCCATGTTTTTAAAACACTAAAATTATAATTCTATTAATTTTTTAAATTTTATGAATGTCCCTCAATTAGTGTATGGTCTTCAATTTGGCACAATATGGCACAACATCGCTAACCAATTGTTGCTAGTTTCAGGCAGATGGTCCTCCATGTGATCTCTAACCAATTGTCATTATTTAGGCTAAGTGGTTGTTTGGTATCCTATTTTAGGCGGGATTTAAGAAATGTTTAGCTTAAATCTTGTCTAATAAACTTTTAAGGGGAGATTTTAAATCTTATTATTTTGATAAATGCCATTTAAGCCACGTTATTGATTAAAACTAGGATTTATTAAATACCACCATTTACTGGATGATTTAAGGAATTCAATTATTTCTCCTTCTCATAATTCTTGAATCCTAAAAAAAAAAGCAAATAATTTACCAAATTTAACAAGATTTAATGGTTTTAATGTCAAACAGTTTTCAGATTTTAATACTCTCAAATTTTACTAAATATGGAATTACAGGATTTACTAAATCCTAATTGTAGCCAAAAAACCCCTAAGGCTCCTTTAATAACGAACTTTAAGAAGGGGAGGAATAAATCAAGAAGAGAACATCCTCACAAGACTTCTCGTTTCATGAATACAATCCTAATTAAAAAAATATTTCTTTACAAACAATATCTTGATTAGGATAAGTTTACAACCCTTAGGGACTGTTTGGCAGCCCCTCAGAGGCTGTTTACTAGCAGGTTGAGCAGGATTTAAGCAAGATTTAACTTAAATCTTGCCAAACAGTAAATATAGAGAACTTATGTGCTACAAAATGTTAAATCCCGCTTCTTCCCACCTCTTATTTTGAATCCCAGATTTACTAAACCCGGTATTCGTCGGATAAAACTTAGCGGCTGTTTGAACACAGGATTTATGCAGGATTTGAGCAGGAGCGAAACGGGATTTAAGGATTATAAATCTCACGGAGAAATAAATCCCCCGTCCCCCTCTTTTTTCCGTAAATCCCGGATTTACTAAATCCGGGAGTTCCGCGGATAACGGAATGGCAGAAGAAGAGCGCGAAAGGGAGAAAGATGGCTACCTTCGCAACAAGTGAGCTCCCTCGTCGTCGTTACTTTCCATCCAACACAAGAACGGCGAACTGTCGTGACTTCCGATCCGACACGAAGGAACGTCGTCGAAGTAGGCTCGTGGGTTTGCTTTTCTTTCTCCTGCCATTCGTAATGGCAGCGAAAAAAAAACCGTGAAGTGTATTTAAATTAATTTATAATTAAATTAGATTTTAGTTATATTATTTTTAATGATTATTTAAAATTAATAATTAACTCCTAAATAATTAAAAATATAATCAAAAATTCAAAATTGGAATTTACTCGTGCAAACCACGAGCCTATAGCATAATTAGTAATTAAAATTTTATTAAAACAATATTTTAAAATTAATTGAATGTTAAATAAGAAAATAATTAGTAGTACAAATAATAAATAATTAATTATTTTAAATATTGTTTGTAAAAAATAATGATAAATTAATTAAGTTAACTTTTTTAAAACAATTATTAATAAAATACTTATTAAAATAACATCTAAATAAATAATTATAGTACTAAAATTAATTAAGCAGGATTTAATATTAGATATTAATGTAATAAAATACTTATTAAAATAAAATTTAAATAAATAATTAGATAATTAGTACTAAAATTAATTAATTCATTAATTTATAAATATTTAATTAAATAATTAGTAATGTAAGTAGTAATTAAATAATTATTTATTTGAACAATTATTTTAAAAATTAATTAAATATTTAAATAATTATCAATAAAATTAGTAATTGAATATTTATAAATAACATCTAAAATATAATTAGAGAATTGAATTATAATTAATATTAAATTATTAGTTAATTTATTATATATTTAAGTTCTCTTCTAATTATCTTATTTATAATTATAACTTAGTGATGGACATTAACTTGTTCAATAAGTAACATTTATTTAAAATACAAATTAAATTTGAATTTTTAATAAACTAATCATCTTAAATCCTGAATTTTTAATAAACTAATCGATCTGGTCGAATTCTTCCCTCAATGAGATTCTTTTCCTTCACACGTCGCTGGTCCCTTTTACTTCCCCTAACAACCTAGTTCCCACTAGTGACTTTCTAAGCTTGCTTTGTCGGAGTGGGTTTCGGACTTTCGGTTAATTTGGGAACGTTAAAAGTTGTTAATTTAATCACATATATGAGTTTTACTACGTAGAAAAATTAAAATTTTAAATATTAATTATTAAAGTTTTATGGATATTTTTACTTTATTTTATTATACCCCATAAATTATTTATTGAATATTTTCAGTCTAATTATCATGCATAAATACCAATAAAATTTTAATACTCTTAATTTTATCTTAAATTAATCTCTGATTAGTCTAATTAATGAAGATTAATCTTCTTAAAACATTTAAAATTATTTATACGAGTTTTTAAAATTTTAAGAAAAATTTAACTTTATTTAATACTTTAAATTATTCTCTTAATAATCTTAAGTATACTAATTATTGAAGTAGTTATTCCATTCCTATTTATTTAGCCATTTTCTAAATTATGATGATGATTATGATGATAATGATAATAATAATCATAAAATAAATTATTATTATTATTATTATTATTTAATCTAATTAATTGAAAAGATATTTAATCTAATTAATCTAAAGCAAACCCACCACCTCTTGGTTTACAACCATTCTCACACACTCTCCTCCAACACAAATCCTCTCATATTTTGTTCACCTTTTGGCCCTTTATTTTCTCATCAAATGGCACCTCGCAACAAGCAGTAGCGACCAACCATATCCTCACCCGTATCTTCATTAATTAAGCGTTAGACATTCAAGTTCCTCTCAACTTTCGACCAATCACCTCTCAATTCAAAGAAATTATCTAAACATCATCAAAAGCAGTATCCATCTTCTTTGTCGGTCAGTTCTATGCTGAAAATTTCAGAGACGACTCGGTAAAAAGTTTTATTTGCTTTAAACCCTAGAATCTGTGAACTAGTCGCAATTTTATTTTAAAAAGAGCACCAACTAAAATAGCCAGCCAAAATAGTCGGGCCGAATCTTCGGGTCGCACAGTTAGTAGAAATATCCACGCAGCAGCAAAAAAATTTAATTCCAAAAATACAATACCCTCATATAAAAAATATATTGTTTTTTTATATAAAATGTACAAAAAAAGTAGTTCAAAATTTTTAATCATAAATAAAATAACACAAAAAAAAGCATTTAAGTTAAAAAAACATGTATAATAAATGGTATTTTTAATGAAGGCCACGTACAAAATTCAAGCTCGACAATCATAGCAATAGCCATGTTGAAAAACAACAAGAGTGCTATAATTGGCGAGAGACTTCTACCAAAAATGATCCCAAGCATTTGGATATCCAACCAAAAACTTCTCCAAATTACTTGCACTTCGTGGTGATTGATTTGATAAATACCACCAGCGCCTCAGGTCAAGTGATTCTCTACTGAACACCAATTCCCACATGGTTAGTTTCAATTAGCTGCAGCTGTCAGCATCTTCATGCAGGTGAAATAAATGGCAGGCACCAAAAACCTCCCCCAGCAAATCAATGAAAACTATCACAGATATTGCTTCAGGCTTTCACCGCTAAGGACCTCCATCTCCTTGAGAATATCCTGTGCCAGTGTTTTCACAGGAAGCTCGACATCTTCAAGTAGTTCACCCAAGAAAGGAATTGTCTCAGGTAGGAAAACTAGATACTCCTCTCTCAAGTGTTCCAGTAAGTATTTAATCACCCTTAGACTGAGAATCTTTGGCCGGACCTTCTCATTCCTTGTCTGCATCAGCACCTGTATAAACAGGAATTCTACTTCAAGTCTCCACTGATAGCAAGCAGATTTTGAATGCATTAAAAAAAAAACATAAATTGTAAAATTAACACATTGATTCCAATAGTTATACTCCCAAAAACGCATCACCGCGAGGTTGATGACTGGGGCAGCATAGGACTAAGGCTTCGTTTGGGACGGCTTTTCTATTACTGCTTACAGCGGCTTTATAATACAAATTTTTTAATTTTTGTATTAGAAAGCTGCTTTAAGAAGCAGAAAGAAAGTTGTCCCAAACAAAACCTGAAAAGAGAAGGGATGCAGCTGTACCTCATGGTTAAGTGGCTTCCATAGAACATCAGATTTTGCTGTAACAGCCATTTGTCCCAAACATAAGACCAAGTATTCATTAACGTCCTCCACAGTGGGCAAATCAGCATAATCATTCAATGTGGCTGGTGGTTCCACAATAAGCTGAGAAATAATGGGTTTCAATAGAACCTGCAAAAGGTTATTTAACCCGTAAATATAATGAGAAATGCAACAAATGCATAAATGTGATATGCATAAGTTGCTAGTACAGACTAATAATCACATTTAATTGAAGTTGTCAATCAAATAGCACATTGCAGGGGATTTCAGTGAGGAAACATCGAGCTCATATAGGACTTCCTCTTTGCCTAGAATCGTTGATGATCTTATTAAAATCTAGTAAAAGCAATACTTCTAAAAGTTTAAGAAACTACCTGGAAGTTTGAGGTATCCAGAAATTTAGTCTCTGTTGTATCATAAAGGAAACAATGATAAAGGGCCTTCAAAATAAGAGCTCTCAAATGCCACAACTTTGTAGCCGAGACAACTTTAGAATTTACGCTACTGCATGAATCTTGGATCTTAGCCTTTTTTCTCTTTTGAGTTGGAGAATTTGAATCTACCACCTCATCTTCAGTTAGATAACGGGTGGAACTACCAAGCAAATACTTGAAGTAAGGTACAAAGAGAGATCTGCATTTAGATTAGCAATTGTTGACAAGTCAAATCAGAAAATAAATCCCTCTATGCGGACAAGGAAAAATAAATGCCTCAAGTGCTATATTTTGAAATTTCCAAAAAATGCAAGTTGGTAATTTCATCGTCTTATTAAATTTAACGATATTAAAAATCTAGAACAGAAACATTTATCAGCTAAGGCGAAAGTAAAAACTTAAGACTACCTCAGTGATTCCAATGATATTATATTACTAATGTACTACATGAGTTCATTCCATAACCTATACTGTACTACTGTATACCGGGCAATCTCCTAAGAAGCAGAATAGTACGGCATTGCCAAGCCAGTAAGTCAAGATACCATGCTGAGCTGTAATGCTAGGAGAATTAACTGAATTGTAATTACCATTATAATGATGAGCAAAGTGGTAGCATCTAAGCCAGCAAGAAAAAAAAATTAAAGAATGGTGTAGGCCAGTTGGACAAGAGAAGAATGATAAGCAATATGAGATAAAAAGGCAATATCATAACTACCATACAGCAAAAAGAATTTTTAAAGAAATTCAACAATGTTTGTTCTCTGCAGTGCAACTAAATAACCAGTTCCAATAGTATGTGACTCAATGTGAAGAGACCATAGCTTCAAATACCAATTCTCACAACCCCATCAAAAACAGAAAAAATTCTTTGCAAAATGTGAGTTCGATTTAAGAATAACTTGAAAAAGAACATTAATAAAAAGACAGTACACAGCATATCCGAAAAAAAGAATAAATATTACAGTTTAAAAAAACTCTCATATCTTCATCATGGAAGCAATAAATAAAATATTTAGAAGTAGATGCATAGAACTATAGCATATGGCATAATAAGAACAATCTACAGAAATAACATAGCAAACATGCGTAAAGATCACGTACAAGTAATTTAAGTGCTTGTATTACATGTAAAAAAAGATCTAATTTACTCAGTGGAATAGCTGACTTGCTCATAATATTAATAATACCATAACAAAATAGAATAAAATCAAGCTAAGAGAATTGAAGTTCTATTTTAACGAACTTCCTCATTACGTGTACTGAAGAAGTAGATATGATTTGAATCATGTTATGCGACATTATTAGGTATGGATTGGCACTCCAATGTTTCTAGTAGAAACAAATGATGTCAAGTAAAGAAGGAAATAAAACATGAAGAGCTAAACAGGGGTGAGGGATTAGGACAGGTGGGAAACCAAAATAAGGTGATGAAACCTACTTACAAAAATATTTAACTCAACTAGGAGTACAAAGCCAGTTTCAAGAATAACATCACCAAGACGACCCTAATTAGAATGAAAACAAATCTTAAAACTTAGGCTAATGTTAATGAGAAGCTTAACAAACCTTTTTCCTTAAAAAACATTATTTTAAATGCTTCAAGAATTTTACATAACTGCATGCATAGAAGTTTTTTCAAAATCTTGACGGATTGAACTATAGCTATTGTTTTGAAAAGTTCTTATAAATGAACAAGAACTATCTTTATAAACGAGTTACCTGTGCTGTTGAATAAGTTTATTCACCAAACTATAGAAGGAAATAGATCGGTCTAAGCTCGTGCTTTTAGTTGATTGGTTTTCTTCCAGTTCTGACTCTGCCCACTCTAGACTGTGAAGGAACAATGGTTTAAACATAGTCTCTGTTAGTTTCATCGTCAGAACAACCATGGCGTGGATAACACTTTGCTCCACCACGTTAATGTCCTTAACAGACTCTGGGACTTGATGGCGAATATTAAGTGAAGCTAAACATTGCTCATATATTCTCACATGATAATAGCTAATAGAAGGCCTATCCATTCCACCAATTATGTTGGCCAGCATTTCAAAAACCAAAGATAAGCTGGATTCTCCACATCTTATTGCAGTTTTAATAATTTTTAGTAAAGGTGGAAGTACAAGGCGAGCCTACAAAGGTTAAATTTCTGTTAGAAAAAACAAAATTGAAATATAATGATGTGACAGAGGTACAACACTAGGAGTGCATACAGGAATTTTTTCAGTTAGAAGTTTTCGCACAGCAACGGCTTTTAGCTTCAACTTAACATCTAGATCTGAAACAAACTCCGGATGAAGTATGATAACGTCTAAGATTTCATCCAGATACGGATTTAGAAATGAATTAAGATGTGTTATAACTGCCTCCAATGCGGAAAGAATTGACAGAAAAACAGGCACTTTATGACTTTCAATTCCATTTTCACCCTGTTTAGATTGAATTTGAGGACATCTGGAAACTTCATGAGCTTTTTTGAAAATATGTGTCATAATGCAAGGAAGTTGTTTAAGAGCTTGAGAACCAAGTACACCAACTAATGCTGCCGTGCTACGAATACAAGCAGAAGAAAGAGCCAAATCGGAAGAATTGATTTCCTCAATGACACATTGAAGGCAAGTACCAAAAATTGGATCATCACAAGGCAACTCCTTTGCCAGAGTTTCAATAGAGGATATAGCAGCCAATTTCACTGGAATCTGTGCTGAAGCTCTCGAGACTAGGTGATTAATTTTAGAGCAGAGTTCAATGAAAGATGGCACAACATGAGCAGTAACTGGAATTGCAAAAACAGTAGTTTTCCTCTTTTTGTTTGCCCTCTCCATGTCCTTTTGACCAGGTACTTGATCTTTAATAGATTCACATAACAAACCAAGCGTCTGTATATTATATGGAAAAAAAAGAGTCAGATATGTTCAAGCACAACCATAAATATGTGACAAAAACCACGTGTTAAATTTTGTAAGAAGCAGTTTATTTAACATTAAAATTTTATGAATAAACGAAACTGAAAGTAAGAATAAAAGAGAAAAGGGTTTATAAGATGGTATGACGCTGATTACCTTTTTTATTACTTTCCAATCATCACTACCCAGCAATTGGGCAATACATTTAAAGAAAGTATCAGGATTCATCCACTTTCTTAAGGTCTTAAGAATTTGGCTGATGCACTTCCTTATTTCCTTCAAAGCTCCTTTAGAAAAGCCAAGTTCTTTGCACCTTACACCAAGAAGTTGCAAGTGTAACACAACCTGCTCCATAAGTGCCCCGAGTGTATCCTGTCAAAATATCACAAATAAATGCATTACGAAAGCGTGACAGGTTTAAGACTTTTGAAGCATATTGATAGAAATTACTAAAACAAAAGTTGCATGAGAGAGTCTCATTTTTAACAAAACAAACATTTGACCAGTTAAAATATCCAATGGCGCAAAAAGAAATGGGTCTCATTACAAATTCAAGAGCGACGCAAGGTCTGGATAATCATCTGAAACACAAATTGTTTGACATCAATAAAATTAGAGTTTGGATGTGAATCTCTTATTCCTTAACTCTATGGGAATGTTAAAATCGTTGATCAATTGCAAAACATGAAAGTTGCTCTCATCATTCTTTCATCATTTCGTGATTATTAAAAGTGAAATTGGTTATTTCCAAATCGAGTTTATATTGCCTTTTTTGGTACACATGATATCATAATTGATTGTGAATATTTGATGATCCCCATTTCTTAAGGTTTTAGTGAAAATTTGCTTGGAATGAAAGCAAAATTAAGTTCGAAGAATTATGAAATTCAAAGTTCTGTGTGCAAAAAATTTATTAATTTGCACCTTCGACCGTAATCAGCTTGCATATCAGATTAATCTGCATTATCAAGTACTTATTATCTTATTAATCAAATATTTATACTCCATTAATCATGGAAAACTCTCCCCAAAAAGTATTCACATTTATGTAAGAAAAATTAAAACCTTAACACTATCCTCAGACTAATTGATAATTATACAGTCAAATATGAGTAATACAGGAATAAATTATACATAACTTTCTTCTAACTTAAATATTCAGGCTAAACATGCTCATTTGCTACTAATTACTAGTAATTGTTATGAAACCCAAAATTAAGCTAAATTAATTTAGTTGGGTTGACTAAAACTAAGGTATGTAAATAAACCATAAAGTTGAGTAAATTCAAGCAAAATAAATGTTCTCAATTAGGCTGTAACTGTACTTACATTATGTGAATAGAATAAAATATAAAGCAACTTCATTAACTTTACTTGAAAATCAAACATAAAAAAATAACATTGCATGTAAATATTTTACAACAACTTTCACTTAAACTAAACAGGTAAATTCAACTTTAATCCGCAAACTGCTGGGCTTCGAGAACTTGCATTTTATAAAATCTTATAAAAAAAAACTGCTAAACACGTAGAAAACAATGTTAGTAACTTCATACATACATTTGTGTATATAGAAATTTACCTTCCGAGATCTTCTCAATATATATTCAGAAATATGATACAAATAATACAAAATTAAGTTAAAGGTGTACCTGAATATAAGCTGCATCTATCCCAGAATCAAGCTCAAAAACAAACTCAGTATCTCTTAATTTCCCAAGGATAAATTGCAACGCCAAAAATAGTTCAGGGAAGAATTCTTGCTGTTTGCTGCTATATTCTATCTCTTGCAACAGCTTTACTAGAGAAGGAAGCCATATTTTGCTAGAATACTGATTGCATAGCTGTAATACAAACGTGTATTCCCATTCCTTAAAAATCATTGATGATGGAGATAATAATTCAAGAAAATCTGTTTCAGAACATGACCAGGTTATATGAAGGCGTAGAATCAATGAATGGAAAAGATGATAATATAGTATGCCCAAGCTATCCTTCTCTCCCAAAGTCCTAAAAACAAACCATAGAAGAATTAACTTTAAGCAACATAAACAACATAGTGCCCCAACAACAAAGAATTTACAATCACCTGACAAGAAACACAATGACAGCCATCCGTCGGTTCTCAGTAATATCTGGCAAACCTTTTATAAAAATCTGGAGAGTGCAATTACAATTCATACACAAAATTAGATTTAGTTTATCAATCTATGGATAGAAAAATTTTAAAGAATATGTGAAGTTCAAAACCTGGAACAACTTTCCAACACTGCTTGTCTTGGCTAACCAACATGGGACAAGCACTAGTATCAGATTCTCCAAAACTTGTTGTGAGTGATAGTCACTCTGAAAGCAACACAGATAGAGATTCATAAGTGATAAGTGGTATTATGAAAAAAAGCAACAAGAAGATAAAATAATAGGCATTTATAACTTTTACCTTCTAAACACAATCAATTGGGCATAGAAGTTTGACGTATCTGACTCATTGATTTGAGAGTAGAAAAATAGTCTCATCCTCTTAGAAAGATGCCATTTTAATCTTTGAATTAACAAATCAAAATCAAGATGGCTGACCATCATTTCCACCATCAAAACAAAGGACCGAATTATTAAATCCTATAATTAGTAACTAAGTTCTCCAAAAAAAAAGGATTTTATATGGCATCCATAGTTGTTATCTATGTTTTGATCAAACCAAAATCATCAATAAATCTTGCAAATTTTGATTATTAGCTTTTTTAAAAATGTTATAAGAATACCAATCATGTTGGTTTACATTTTGAAGCCTATTTCAATAGTTGATTATTAGCTATATATATATATATATATATATATATATATATTATCATTCACCCTAACTGCCCATCCCTTTGCTAGAATAAGTCACCACACTCATGCACCTCACCCTTATTGCTCCATACCACTTCGCACATAAGAAACTCGTCATTGTTGCCATCTTCCACAAGCTTTTAATATGCCGCATGCACTTGCGTGTAATCAAGCAAGCTCACAGCTGCTTGTGTGTATCGCAATTCCTGATGGCTCCAAGTGGCCATCTAGGGCTATTCCCTCACAAATATCAGCTCTCCGCTCCAAGCGACTTTCTTCCCGGCACTAGATCATTGCTACTCATTTCAATGCCACTAGTAGGCAAGACTCACCTTGACTCTCTCTCTCCTCAATCATAATTATATCTCATTCACCACAATCATTGGATGCTCCTGACATCAATGTTTCCTACTCCACTGTCGTCGCCTCACGTACTGATAGCTCCAACTATATCGGAGGCTTATTTCCTTCTACTGCTCACGATTTCATTCTTTTGCAAAAGTAATGGGTGTATCATCAAATATGGGATTGCATCCCTCTCTTTCGGCCCGCTTTCTTTTTTAATTTATCAAAAATTGGCTCCACTAATTAACTTTTATTAAGATTTTGATACTATTGTGCCTGCTACTGCTAGTCATAAGAAAATGATTTATACATCTTTTGCACGCAAGACATTGTTTTGCCCATTCTCAAAGTTTCCCATTTCACTCCTATTAATGAAGACATGGATGACTATGATACTCTATAATCAAATGATTCTGATGGGAGCATTATAAGCAATGACGTTCAGGTGGATAGGATATTTCAAATCTTATTTGACAGAAGGGGCTATAATTTTTTTTTTTTTTTAAATGTCCCACTCTTGTTGTCACTGGTGGGCTTCAAGCAAAGGCGATTAAAATGAGTTATTTTTCTCCTTTGTTGCTTTCCAATATTGTTGGATGGTTTCTTGCCATACGTACTTGATCCTTCGTATTTTTCATTTTGCTCTGACAATTATTGATAATTGCCTTTATTGCACTTTATATATATATATCAAATTAAACTATCGAGCTAAACAATATTAGAATAGGTGGTATTCATGTTTGACTTGTCAAGCAAATGCAATTGTAAATATAAACTAAATTCGAACAAAATTACATTTCTGGTTATAGATCAAACAAAACAGAGCTAATACAGTTGCAGATTCACAGAGACTTTCACTAAGAGCTGAGTAGCGACTTTTTTATATGAAGTTCACCATATTTATTATTCCATGAGCTATACTACAGTTGCAGATTCTACGAGAAATTAACCCTTACTATATCGTTAAAGGTTGAAAATCAAGATTATAAAATAACAAAAAATCCCATCTTTCTCGTAGACCATATCAGTTCACAAAGAAAAGAATAACATTACAAACCTGTTTTATAGCAGAGTCTCCAACCATGACAAATAAGTCAACAATATGTTCAGAAAGCAAGCCAGAAGAGATCTTAGCAACAGAAGATAGTAACAAGAAAATGTGATTGCGAGTGGTAGCATCCTTAGCCGACTGAGCACATTCAACCAGAAGATTAATATTAAGCTTATTACATAAGTCATCCTGCAAGAAAAATAACAGTTCCGGGTCCATTTCAAACAAAAATTAAAAAAGAAGAATAGAAAACCGTAGATAAATTTATATGATAAGAGAATTTGAATTTTACCTTATCAGAATGTCCCATAACATGTGAGTCAATAATATCCTTGAGGATTAACAGTGTAGAATGCTGAGCAGGATGAAGGACAGCTAAAAAAGATTCAGAAAATCCAGATACAGATCCATTTTCAGTTGTGTCAGAACTCAATAAACTCAGAAGCCAATCATTCGAGAAAAGCTTTCCTAGGACTTCAAATAATGGTTGCACCAGATAAAATCTACCAGTACAACAAAGATAAAAAATATCACACAAAAATAGAAAGATGATTAAATCTCCAATAGCGCATTGGAAAAAAACAAAAAAGGGAGAGGAAATAGAACGGTTGACAGACCTATTGACAATATCTTTCTTAAGTAACACAATATCAAGCAAGGAACCCAAAACAAAAATTATTTCCCTTCCACCATCAAACTGATCTTTACAAGCATTTAAACTTTGAAAGGTTATGGACTTCTTTCTCTTTTCTCTTTTTAAGGAGCCAATATGCTGACCTCGGCAAAAAATTTCCAGTAATCTTACAATTGTTAAACAATTTATCTGCTAGACAAAATGACGAAAGGATAAAAACAGTTAGTCCCATATGTATAAAAAATTAACAAGATTTACTAAAAACTCTATATTTTAAGGAAAAAGCAATTGTGCGGATTAAAAAAAAAAAAAGAAAATTTATCATTCGACTGCTCAAATCAAGGTTATCAACTCAACTTATCAGTTACTTCACGCAGAATGAACTCCACTGCAAAGAAGGAACGCGGGACATCCTCATTTCAAAGGGCTCAAATTAAATTGTGGAATTGAATGAGATATGATTACCTTTAGAATGAAAAAATACAAGCTCAACAGTTTATGCCATCCAAATTATGAGAATCATCAATCATGAACATTTATATGGTCAAAGATGCCCGTTGATAATTAATAGTAATACAAGAGTATGAATTCATTATAAAGACATTACAACAACAACAACAACAACATCAAGCCTTTATCCCACTACGTGGGGTCGGCTATATGAATCCTTTTTCTCCATTGTGTTCTATTAAAAGTCAAATTCTTGTTTAAACCTAATAAAGAAAGGTCATTCCTAATATTTTCTAACCATGTCTTTTTAGGTCTACCCCTACCTTTCTTAACATAAGTCAAATCTAATACCTCTACTCTCCTAACCGGGTCATCGCAAGGCCGCCGTTTTATGTGACCAAACCATCTAAGGCGACTTTCTCTAATCTTATCTTCTACTGGAGCTACTCCAACCTTTTCACGTATATGCTCATTTCGTATCCTATCTCTAAGGGTAAAGCCACTCATCCACCTGAGCATCCTCATCTCTGCCACACTTAACTTAGTATTATGCTTCTCTTTTAAAGGCCAACATTCGGCACCATAAAGCATTGCAGGCCTCACTACCATCTTATAGAATTTTCCCTTAAGTTTGAGGGGTACATTTCTATCACATAACAAGCCCGATGCATTCCTCCACTTCAACCATCCAACTTGAATTCTGCTGATAATATCCCCATCTATTTCACCATCACTCTGAACAATTGATCCAAGATATCTAAAACGTGTACTCTTATTAATGACTTGATCGCCCAAAGTCACAATCCCCTCACTAGGTCTATTACTACTAAAATTCATTATAAAGACATTCTGTTAATAAAATCTATGCTAGTAGTTACTCTTAAAATAGTTTAGAAGGTAGTGTCTAAGCACGTTGGAATCAGTATATTTGACCAGTCTACACAGTATTAATCAAGTCATATCAGTCAAATAAGACTTCCTCGTCTAGTAAATTAAAAACTTGCATGCCATAGGACATGCTATCTCAATACAAGAAAATTGACCAAATTGGTTAACGAGAAATAAGAAAAGTAGAAAGATTATGTCAACAACTCTTTTGGGAAAAACTTAATTCATTTTCAACAAATCCTTTGTGCAAAATGAATTTACAAGAGGACAACATGAAACCATAATCAACACAACAATGAAGGGCGCTGACTTCTATCTCCACAAAATAATTTTACAAACAACTAAATTTTAAACTCTGATTCATCTAACGGTTCGCTTGCACAGTAAAAATTCCAAAAAAAAAAAAAAATCAAAAACATATTAACAGTGAGATTATTAGGGTAACTCAACAAATCCTGCTAAACTGAAAAGAAATTAAATGCCACATTTTTTTCAACAGATAGATGGAAGAATGCATCAACTATCAAATCTCATACAGTTAAACATGTAATATAAATAGTATCGTTCTAACATTCAATCACAAGGGTTCCTGAAATGAGTACTAAGTAATGAATTAACTAACAAAAAACAAACAATAAAGACTAAGCTATCAACTTCCACATTCCTTGAATTATAATTTATGAATACCAATTACATTTGCCATTCAACAATCAAATGGCAGTTAATAAAGTGATAAAGCATACACCAAGGTACATCCTCTTGCAAATGTCTAGTGAGAACATCCATGACTAAAGTAAAAAGATATGGGCTTAAGGCTGATCCTTGATGTAACCCAACCGAAATAGGAAAAGAAATTGAAAGAGCATTGAAGCGAACGTTCATGAAAAGAAATTGAAAGAGCAACTAACATTATTCTAAACCAAATAGTTGGGATAAGGCTAGAGATAATGAGGATGACATAACCATTAACTGTTATACTAATAAAAAAAAATAAAAATAAAAATAAAAACTGTTATATTTTTTCTCAATATTTTGCCTTGATGTCCATGATATATTCTGCCAATGGAAACCATGCTTATCTGTAAGAGCTGGCTTATCCTGGCCAATTCAATTGAACCAGCCAGCCAGCCTATAATAAATCGCGGGCTAGCAGGGACAAAACAGACGGACGAAGACGCGACTTGGGCGAGCCGACTGCAAACGCAGACGAGTCTGGAAGAGTCAGTTTGCGGTTTTGAACGAAGGATCATGCACGTGGAAGTAAATTAACAACTCCTCGTGTGAGAAATATCTGTTTCATTCATTACTGAAGAAGAAAAATGCAAATGAGGGTTCTGTCAAGAGAGGCGATTGAGAGGAGGTAAAGGAACTAAGGTTTGTTAATTTTTCCAATTATGTGTAGAACATTTCGTATTATCTCTTCTAAACAGTGAAGGATGTTTAATTAAAGGCATGAGAAGAAATTGAAAGCATGAAGGAAGAAGAGGAGTATAGAAAGGAAGAGAAAGAAAGAGGAAGGTATGTTCATTGATTTTTTTATTATTATTTTCTGTGCAAATTTTCATATGATTTCTAATCTAAGCAAGACAGAATGTTCAGTTAAAGGTAAGGGAAGAAAATTTGGAAAAGAGAAAAAAAAAAAGAATTTGGGCTTTGGAAGTTATATACTTTCATTTCTCGTTTCTTTCATTGAAGAAATAATAAGAAATATATTTTGATTTTTATGTTGGAAGAATCCAAATGATATAAACTTTGGTTAGATGGTGGAGGAAGGAAGAATTTCAAAGAAGGAAAGTTTTGGTGAGGAAATCATTTTGATTTAAAAAGAATTTTGGAATGAATTAGAGTTATTTAATACTATGGTAAAGATGTATTCAAATTTTTTTAAGATGTTAGTCAAATCAATTTAATGATTTTTTTTGGATTTGTTGTGCACTTACTAAGTTGTCAAGGGCTAAATGATAAAATTAATGTCAACAGTGGAATATTTCATAATTGGGAGAGAGTACAGGAAGTACTGAGAATTCAAGATTGAAAAGGAATTGAACAACCGCAAAACAAATAAAGTGGATAATTACACTTGTGTATAGACATTTTACTGTTGAACTTCTATTTAAATTCTAAAGGAAATATTTAAATAATTATTTTACTTATATTTTGATGTTACTATGCGTTAGATGACGCAAATGCATGTGGTGATGAACTTTTGACATTAAATGAATACGATAGAACAAATAAGTATCAAATACATGATATTATGATTATAAATGCATGTGTAAAGGAAATAAAAAGTGAAGTTAGAATATATATATATATATATATAATATTATATACATAAGAATACAAGTAAAGAATGAGGAAATAAATGATATAACTTATAAATTATAAATAAAAGTTTAAATGAACAAATGGAAAAGAGAAAAGGATATACATGCAAATTACAAGAGTTCACCCCCATATGGTACTTACTGGGGAAGCAACGTAACCGTGCATGTTAAATGAAAATGAAAAGGTTGTACCTGTATTGATATATTTAGACGGTGCTCTTATACTAATGATAATGGAAATGGAATAAACATGTAATAGAAATGGATAAATGGAATATAATGAAAAGTAATGTGTGTAAGAAAGACAAAGAAACAATTATGTTTTTATTTTATACATGATATATATACTGATTCAATCTTAAACAACTCTGAAGTATTTTCAGAGATGGAGTAAGTCACTTTAGCTTCATCCCATATTTCTTTTGCAGACAAATAGCAAGAAATTTTTACTTGTGTCATTGTTCATGGAATTGAAAAGCCATGAAATAATCATACTATTTTTAATCTTTAAATTTCTTAAATCCCGATCTGTAGTCTTAGGCATGGCTGCTGCTCCCATAAGATACTCATCATTTCCCTTATCACAAATGAACAGTAACATATATTGTGACCACTGCAAATAATTATGGCCATTCAATGTCCTGTGATGAGAATAGGAGAAGAATCATTAGCACCAAGTTTTGGAATTTCTGAAATGCTTCCTGATTCTGGTGTTGTGATGCCTGATCTTTGTGATGAGGCCATCCCCTATTGCAAAGAAGAAGATAAGGGAGAAGAACGAACATGGTTGTTGGAAATATATAAGAAGAAGGCTGGGAAAAACGCTGACTAGAGAGAATCAACCTGATAAACAAAGAAGAGAAGTCTAGAAAAAATTGGCCAAAGAAAGGTGTCCTGAAAGGAGTAGGGCTCAGAGAACTAGCTCTGATACCATGAAGAATTTTTTTAATAGATTATTCTTCTCTGTATTACATCTACATATATATACTAAAAAATTATCTAATAAAGAAAATAACTAAATAGCATAATTCTTTCCTAAAATTTAGGAAACAGAATCACAGGAGAATATTTGTTTCCTAAAATTATGAAACAGAATCTTATGAGATCACAATTGATCTCTCGTTTTATTCATAAAAATACTTTCCTAAAATAAAAATAAAATCATAGAAGATGATCACAATCGATCTCCCCTTTTATTCATAAAAATACTTCCCTAAAATAAATTTTCTAACTTTAACTTTCAAATATTCAGCAACTATGAAAACAAGTTTTGGGTGAAAGAAAAATAACGAAGAAGTATAGAGAGTATGAAATAATCTAAGCTTATGATCGAGTATAAAAATTTTTGACTTTGTATGCTTTCAAGTCATAAGGTGTGTCAAAGATGTCTTGATATTATTAAAGATAAATAGGATGAAGAACTAACTAGTTTTAGAAGTAATTGTGAAGTGACCCAACAGTTCCCAATTATTTAGATTTATATCATGTATCAACATTTTAGTATATCTTTTTTATTGGTTATAAAGACACCTAAAAAGATATTTAAAATGATGTTCCTTAGTACCTATATTTTACTAATGATAATATTATAATTAGTGTGAAATGCACAAAATTAAATGAAAATGTTTAGAAAATAGAGACCTTATGTTTTACTAAATGATAAATAAGTATATAATATTAAGTTAGCAGTGCAAAGTTAATATTTATTATTCAATATAAATAAAAGATAGTATATACCCATATATGATAGACTTAAATACCTCAGATCTACTACATAGAAAAATGGAGAAATAAATGTGGATATAACATCAATATTCAAGGCTAGGTGGTTAAAATGACAAGTGTTTGGGACTTTTTTGTGATAAGAGGATATCATCAAGGCTTGAATGTAATTTTATAAACTACAATTAGGTCAGCAATGCTCTATGGATCCGATTGTTTGATTGTAAAAAGTCTTTGATATCTAAGTTGATTGTGGCCAAATGAGAAAATTAAGATGAATGCATGAAAGTTAAAAATGATTATATTAGAGAAAAAGTTAAAGCAATATATATTGATGATAAAATTAATTAGGTGGTTTGGAATATATACAAGTGGTAGAATAAACACCAGTAGACAAGTATGTAAAATGAGTGCAAGAGGATTTAAAAGGAGACCTAAACTTACATGAATAGAACTTATAAAAATGATTTGCACGGAAAAAGTTTAGCACCTTAAACGACAGTCAACAAGAATGAATGAGAAATGACGATTCATCAAACCAGCTCCAACTCGTTGCGAAAAAGCTAATGATGATGACGATGATCTTCAACATATGCATAATCCAATCAATAATTTAAAATTTAATCATTTTTAGTACATAATAATGCAATAAATAACTAATACAAGAGAATTAGACATGAAAGAGGTACAACAAAAGAAATGATGGTTAGAAAAAGAATGCATTGAGGTCCAAGGGTATTTATCAACCACAAATTAGAGATCCCAATGCTTTCACCAATCAGGAACCTAATTATGCAAAAGAATTGTGATATAGATGACAAGCTATGTCCTCCAAATAAAAGCCTAAGAAGTATGAGCTGTCTGTCCGATTATTTCACAATTTAAGTTTCAACAATGCCCTTGAATGGAAAATTCTAAACTCTACAACATGTTGAACATGGCAGCAACAAGTAACTTTCTGAAGTATTGGTTCATCTGAGCGATGGATACCCATTGATAGTATACATTTTGTGAATAGTTACATGAATTAGAGCAGTCATATAAATCAAGCACCACAAAGAAAAATAACTCATCTGATTAAATGAATTAAGCATATTACTGATTTAAGACGTGTAGAAGTATACAAACATATATACATTTAAATTAAGAATCACTTCTCTAGCAGCATTTCTTATGTCTCCACTGTCACTCCGGGCCAAAAAAACCAGGTTGATAAAGATTTCATCCTGAAATGAAGTTAACGTGAACTTGTCAAAAAATAATCAACACAGGATATAAAAACTAGCATACTGTGGTTCTTCAGAAAGGTAAGCATATTGTTTAAAATTATCAAATGATAAAGGTTTCCCAAAAAACAATATCGTTAGAAGTTACTAAAAAGATTTAGAAGTTAACATGAATTGAAACAAAATGCAGCTCCTAAGGTTATTAGTCTCTAAGAAGGATTCATTAATTTGACCACAAGTAGCAAGAACAAGGCTGGCCAATGGTCCTCCTATTGACGATGATGAAAACACATTTACTGTCTCCTGACCAAAACCACCATATATTTTAACGGGCAGCAATGAAAGCACAAAACATAACTGCCATGACATTTCATCCTGTTGAATTGACTTATATAAGAATTTATTGAGCTTATTTGTTGATGTAATCCAACTGAAACAGAAAAATACTTGGTCAAACCATCATGTGTTTGAACACAAGTAATAGTTTCTACATACATATTCTTAATGATTTGAATATAAGCATTATTAACTACTTTCTTTTCTAGAACTCTCCAAAGCACTATTCTTGGAACTATATCATATGCTTTTGATATGTCGATTCCTGGGGAACCGACTCAACCTCAGCCGGCCCAGGTGGGGCCGGCACTTGTGTACAGGAGACGGGTCAAACCTCCTCCTTCCTACACCGCCTAAGGGAGGGTCCCACGCCCAATTTGTTTGGATTTAATTAATTAAAAAAGATTTGATATTTTTTTGTATTAAATAATAATATCTTATATTAAGAAAGAGGATTTAATTAATTAAAAAGATTTGATATCTTTTGAATTAATTAAATATTATCTTATATTAGGAAGTTTTTAAGGAGGTGGAGAGGGCTATTTAAAGGGCATGAAGGGGTTAGGGCTAGGCATGCTTTGATTATTGTCTTCTTGTAGTCTCTTTGGTGTTTTAGGCTCTAGACTCTTGTCTAGAGATTTGGGAGAGACGATCCTCCTCTCGAATAGAGGATCAATTGTATCTTTTCTAGCTTATTTTGCTTTGAGTATTTAATCAAGTTCTATTATTTTCTTGGTTGTTTCATCTCCGATCTTGGGTATTCTCGTTGTTTTACCAATTTCGCATTAGGGTTGCTTGCGAACTCAAGTAGATCTTATAGGATTACTTGCAAACTCAAGTACTTCCTATTAAATTGGTATCAGAGCAAATTGTGAGACCAATGGAGGGCTGATTTCGGCAAATTTCAGCGGTGAATATTTGTCAGGAAGGGGGATTGCTGTTTTTGGAGTTTCAAATCCAAAATTTGTGATTTTACAAACTCCAGATTGCGATGGCGACCAAAAAGGTGGATGCTCTGGAAGAAAGGCTTGAATGGGAGATGAATCAAATCAAAACAATGGTGGAGGAAAGGATTTCCTCCATGGAAGGACAAGTCGCCGATCTCTGAGACATGATGAAGAAGATGTTAGAGATTCAAAACCAAACTGCGGTGTCCGTGGCAAAAGGAGGGGAAGGAAAAAAGTACGAATTCAGAAATTCAAAGTGAGGAAAATGAGGTGGAAATCATGGAAGGAGAATGAAGAAGACCCCATTTGGAGCCTGTCCAGAGGGATGAAAGAGGGGGTGGATATGGGGAACGCCATGAGGGATGCTATGGTTGTTGAGGTGCTGATTTTGAAGACAGGAGGGATTTCGAAGGGAGTTTGAGCTATGACAGAGCAAGGGAAGACTGGGAAACATGGGGTGCACCTAGCACTTGGGAGAGGGAAAACTATGGAAGATTCCGAGGCAATGGGGGCGACCAGAAGGTGAGGAGGTTGAAGATGCACATATTTGAAGGAGAAGATGCGTATGGGTGGATTTACAAGGTGGAGCGATACTTCGAGTTCAATGGGCTAACTGAGGAGGAGAAGTTGACCGTAGCCGGATTGTGCTTGGAAGGAAAATTCATGTCTTGGTATCAGTGGAGAGATCAGATGAGGTCTATCAAGAACTTGAGGGAATTCAAAGACTGCATAATAGAACGCTTCCAAATCGACCGGGAAGGAGATTTCTATGAGCAGTTCTTTGCTCTGACGCCAAAGGGATCGATAGCAGACTACCGAGAGTAGTTTGAGCACCTAGCTAGCAGGGTGGAGCGACTCTCAAATACAATATTGGAGGGAAATTTCATGAAATGGTTGAAGGTGGAGATCCGAGCAGCAATGAAGGTTCTGATGCCCCGTGACTTGGGGGAGGCCATGAAGTTGGCCCAACTGGTGAAAAATCATAGGGATTTGGAGAGAGGAGCCAAGAGTAGCAACACCGGGGGCACTTACAGGATGACGACCACTCATTTAGCGCCTAAAGGTCCTGCAACAGGAGGGAGTAGAGAGGCAACCAAGGAGAAGACAGGAGGAAGCGGGGGAAATTTCAAGTGGCTGACGGAGAAAGAGATGCAAGAGAAGAGGGCTAAGGGGTTGTGCTTCATGTGCGATGAAAAGTACATGCCATGGCATTAGTGCAAGAACCGAACTCTTCAGGTTCTCACTAACTATGATGACGAGGAAACTGAGGGAGGTGAAGAGGATACAGAGGAGGATATGGGGGAGAAGCTACACTTGAAACTGGCTGAGATTTCACTGAACTCAGTGGTAAGATTCACTACAAATCACACCATGAAGGTGAAGGGAGAGATAGAGGACAGGGAGGTTGTGGTGTTGATTGATAGTGGGGCTACTCACAATTTCATTTCCACCCAGGTTGTCGACCAACTGGGAATGAGATTGGTGGACACTGGCTGTTACGGAGTAATGATGGGTACGAGAAAGGTGGAGAAAGGCCAGGGGATTTGCAGATCCATGGGATACAGGTGAGGGAAGACTTTCTTCCACTAGAGCTTGGGAGCACAGACGTCATCCTGGGGATGAAATGATTGCAAACTTTGGGAGACACCAAAGTGAATTGGGGAGCGCTCACGATGGAGTTGACGGTGGATGGAAGGAAGGTAGTGATTAAGGGATATGTGGGGCTTTCCAAATCCATGGTTTCTCTTAAAACGATGGTGAGGGACATCCAATTGGCAGGCGGATGGTATTGGTGGAGTTGCATAGTTTGGAGGGAGCGAGATTGGAGGAGGGAGGAGACATACCCCTTTCCATTCAGTCATTAATTCAGCAGATCCAAGAGGTGTTTCAGCCATCTCAGGGATTACCACCGCAGAGGGAGCAAGAGCATGCCATAGTGTTCAAGGAGGGAGTGGCACCCATCAGTGCCCGGGCTTATCGTTACCCTCAGTTCCAGAAGGATGAAATAAAAAGTTTGATTAGAGAGATGCTGGAGGCAGAGATCATCAGACCCAACATCAATCCTTTTTCTGGCCCCGTTCTATTAGCGAAAAAGAAGGATGGCAGCTGGCATTTCTATGTGGACTAGTGAGCACTTAACAAAGAAACTATACCTGACAAGTTTCCAATACCAATCATTGACGAGCTGCTAGATGAATTGAGTGGAACCGTAATTTTCAGCAAGATAGACTTGAAATCGAGTTACCATCAGATCTGAATGAAGGAGGATGTACCCAAGACGACCTTTAGAACTCATGAAGGACATTATGAGTTCCTAGTGATGTTCTTTGGCCTCACCAATGCTCCCTCTACTTTCTAGGCCTTTATGAATAAGGTTTTCAAAGCTTATCTCAGACGATTTGTATTGGTATTCTTTGACAGCAGGACAGAAGAGGAGCACTTGGAGCATTTGAAGAGGGTGTTAGAAGTACCGCAGGAGCACCAGCTGAGGGATAATTTGAATAAAATGCTGCTTTGCACAAGCTAGTGTAGAGTACTTGGGCCATGTAGTATCAAAAGGAGTGCAATAGATCAGTCCAAAATTGAAGCAATATTAAAGTGGCCAGTGCCGAAAAATCTTAAGGAGTTGAGAAGATTCCTAGGACTGATGGGTTACTACAGGAGGTTCGTTAAGGGGTACAGCTCCATATCATGGCCACTCACTGAACAGTTGAAGAAGGATGAATTCTTATGGGGGGAAGCGGCCACATCAGCATTTGAGAGCTTGAAGAAGGCGATGACTACGGTGCCGGTCCTAGCCTTGCAAGATTTCACTCATACCTTCATTGTGGAGACAGATGCCTCCAGGTAAGGGCTGGGTGCAATACTGATGCAGAGTCGTAGACCCATTGCCTATTTCATCCATGTATTGAGAGCTAGAGCCCGGCTAAAATCAGTTTACGAGAGAGAATTAATGGCCATCGTTTTGGCCATCCAGAAGTGGCGGTCCTACCTACTTTGGAGGCATTTCATTGTCAGGACTGATCAACGAAGCTTGAAATACCTGTGGAACAATGGATGGTGACGAAAGAGCATCAAAGGTGGTTGTCCAAATTGCTAGGGTACGATTTTGAGATTCAATATAAACTTAGAGTGGAGAACAAAGTGGCAGACGCTTTGTCCATATGTATGAGGGTCGCCATCCAGGGTACTCATTAGAGGGAGACAGACTGATGTACTAGGGATGATTTGTGATGCCCCATACCTCGATCCACATCCCAAATTTGCTCCAGGAATTTCATGGAAGCACAGTTGGGGCCCATTTAGGAGTGCAGAAGACCTACAAGAGATTAGCTACCGAGCTTTACTGAAAGGGAATGCATAGAGATGTAAATGAGATGGTGGCAAGGTATGAGATCTGTCAGAGGAACAAATATTTGGCTATGTCGTTAGGAGGACTACTACAGCCGTCGCTGTTACCAAAACGAGTATGGGAGGAGATATCCATGGATTTCATAGATGGGTTGCCCTATTCAAAAGGCTTCACAATGATATTGGTGGTGGTGGATAGATTAAGCAAGTATGCTCATTTCATACCCCTCTGACATCCTTACACCACGGTGACAGTGACTTCAGCATTCATTAGAGAAGTTATCAGATTGCATGGGGTACCAGAAGCAACGTGTCAGAAAGAAATAAGGTGTTCCTGAGCCATTTTTGGAGGGAGTTGTTCAGGTT